AGCACGACCCAAGCAAGTGAGTCTTTCCTAATGTGTTCTTTGTATCTACCAAGTACCCAGCATAGTCAACATCAGCATATCCAATCAACTCAAAGAAGTCTCCAGTTGGGTACCAAAGAACCAGGTCTTGAGTACTCTTAAGATATCTAAGGATTCTTTTAGCTGCCTTCAAGTACGATTCTTTTGGACTAGACTGGAATCTTGCTATGTCAGGCCTAGTTGCAGTCAAGTAGATTAAGGATCCAATAATACCTCCGTACTTCTTTTCACCAATTGGTGCACCAGTATACCAGGTTCATCCATATCTAACCTTGTAGCAGTACCAATGCGAGTGTCAACCATTTTTGCATTGTCTATTTCAAACCTTTTGAGTAACTCCTTCATGTACTGTTGTTAGTATATCATGGTCCCCTTTTCCGTCTGCTTGACTTGAAGCCCATGGAAGAAGTTTAATTCTCCATTATACTCATTTAAAATTTATTGCCTGACAGTTCAGCAAATGCATTGCATAGGGATTCGATCGTGGCTCCAGAAATGATTTCATCCACATATAGTTGCACTATCACCAGGTTCTTGCCATTTTTCAATAGGAACATTGTGTTTTCAATTTTGCCTCACGAGAACCCGTTCTTCAGGAGAAACTTTGATAGTCTCTCATACCATGCCCTTGGAAATGATCTGGGAAGTCATGACTTTCAAAACCTGGAGGTTGTCGCACAAACTTCCTCTTTCAAGTACCCATTTAGGAAGGCACTCTTTATATCCATTTGATATAGTTTGAAACCCATGTATGATGCAAAGATAATAGGCATGCATATTTCCTCCATCCTTACCACAGGAGCGGATATTTCTTCGTAGTCAATTCCTTCTTTTTTATTATAACCTTGTACAACCAATCTTGCCTTATTCTTGATAATATTTTCTTGATCATCCAGCTTGTTCCTAAACACCCACCTAGTTCTGATGAGTGTTCTATCTTTTGGGATGGTAACTGCGTGCCAAACTTTATTCTTTCAAACTGATTTAGTTCCTCCTACATGGTTACTATCCACTCTACATCTCCAAGAGCTTCTTTGATGTTCTTAGGATTCACCATAGATATGTAAGCTGAGAAAGTAATCATATTTTTGAATTTTGATCTTGTCACCATTCCGGAGTCAACTAGTGTAAATACATTGATCAGAGGGTGGGAGCTTTGATTCTTCCACCCCCTAGTGTGAGAACTTTGAATCCCAGTATTTCCTTAATGCTAGGTAGTGGAGCCAGGTGCTACACCTTTTTTTTTGATTTTTTTGATATGTTCCCCTTGTTTGTGATACATCCTGAACAACTACCGGAGAACCTGGTTCTTGCTCCTATTCTAAGGCAACTTTTGGGAGTTCTTGGTTTGTCTGTACCTCATTGTTTTCAGTAGGTCCAAACTCGCCATCATGAGCAACATGTGTACCTTTCTCAGCCAAATGGTTAGATTCATCAAAGATTATATGAATAATTTTTTCAACATATATTTTTCTTTTATTGTACACTTTATGAGATTTACTATGTGGTGAGTATCCAGAAAGACACCCTCATCACTTTTAGTATCAAACTTTTCTAGAACCTCTTTGTCATTGTTATGTACAAAATAGTTGCTTCTAAGGCTCTTAGAAGGATTACATTTAGTTTTCTGCCCTTACGTAATTCATAGGGGATCTTATCAATTATTGGCCTAATCATGCATTTATTTATGATGTAGCATGCATCTTTCACAGCTTCAGCCCAAAAAGTTTTAGGAAGTCCACTACCGATTAACATAGTTCTAGCCATGTCCTTTAGAGTTCTAATTTCTTTATAAAATACCATTTTAATGTGGTGTCCTAGAAGCAAAGAAATTATTATCTATACCATTTCCGGCATAGAACTCAAGGAAGATAGCATTTTCAATTCAGTTTCGTGGTCAGATCGAATGCTGGCTATATGACTATTTATTTTTCTTCGCAGTTTCTTTACAACGATCACAAAAGTATTAAATATTTCATCCTTAGTTTCCAAAAATATAGTCCATGTAAATCTAAAATAATCATCAAAAATAATAAATACATACCTCTTTCCACCTCTACTCTGAACCCTTATTGGTTCACATAAGTCCATGTGAAACAGTTCCAAAGGTCGAGAGGTACTTACCAATTTCTTAGATTTGAATGATGATATGACTTGCTTTCCTTTAAAACAAGCTTTACAAACTTTATCTTCCCTAAATTTTGACTTGGGTAGCCCAAGGACCAAGTCTTTAGTAATCAATTTGTTCAACATAGAATAACTGACATGCCCTAGTCTTTTATGCCTCAGAAAGGAGTCAGTATCAAGTGCACTGAGACACGAGAATTCATTTTTTGGTGAAGACATGATGTCAGCTTTGTAAATATATTTGTGCCTTTTTCCTTGGAGAACCAGGTTTCCATAATTTTCATTCGTAACCATACCGTTCTTAGAAGTAAAAAGCACCTGGTTCCCTTTATCATACATTTGAGACACACTCAACAAGTTGTGCTTCAATCTTTTGATATAATTCACATTTTCAATAGCATGAGAGTGGGACTTACCAACCTTACCTATGCCAATTATATTTCCCTTTTTCCCATTTCTAAAGCTCACACTCCCTCTTTGATAGGCTCTTAGTGAGAGAAAACTCTATTTTCGGTCATATGACGGGAACAAGCAGTGTCAACATACCATAAATTTTTGTTTTCTCTCATTTTGGACTGCAAAAATATACATGGATTAGCTTTAGAAATCCAGAATAGCTCGGGTCCCTTTCTTTGAGTAAAGGAATGAATGACATTCTTCTTAGTCCACCACTTTCCTTTTTTCAACATATGCAACTTTCTTTAAGCCTGCTTGGATCCTAGATGGGCATGTTTATTTGAAGTGTCCATTATTTCTACATTGAATGCAAAGACGATTGTCAGGAATGTCTACATACTTACTAGGTGGATTGTATGAAGTCTTAGCCTTAGTATGTCCTAGACCCTTTTTGTTATTACTGTAATTTTCATGCATATTAACAATTATTTGAGAAGACCTGGTCTATTTCAAGTTCCTTTCTAATTCAAACTTAATCTTATCTAGATTTTCTTTAAGTGTCCTAGCCTTTTCAGATTCAACTAGAAGTTTGTTATTCACTTTTTTAAGATCACTTTCTAGTTTCTCCTGTATATCAGTGGCTAAGTACTTTTCTTTTTCATTGAGCAATTTATTATTCTCATTTCTAAGGCAGCCATTTCATCTTCCAACATAAGAATCTGGTCTTTGAGATCTACTACAAAGACTTTAAGACTTTTTCTATAAATTTTCAGATCTTTATGTTCAAGCCTAAGTGATGAATAGTCATTCATTAATTGTCCATTTTCATCAGAAATATTTAGGTATGCATCAATCAAGACACCTGACAAAAAAATAAATTTCTTTTTAGAGAAAATGTGGATTTGTTTTTGATATCTTGAAAACTTATCTCAGGTTATTCTTCCTCATCAGCATCAGAGTCTGAGTATGCCAGCAATGCCAGGAGATTTTCTGATTCTGAATCACTCTCTTCCTTGGCCATCAACGACTTATCTTCATCTTTATTTCCATCATCATCATCATCATCATCATCATCATCATCAGACTTATCAGTTGAGGATGATTGCATGTCAACCATAGCTCTTTTCATAATTTTGCTTATTAGTCATTCTTCATTTAGGAACCCGATCTTTGTTCTGCTGCATTCCCTTATTAGAATTGTTCATCTTCCACTCAAGTTTCCACAAGGTACTTTATTTTGATGAAGTGATATTTATTTCTATACTTGTAGCACCCATAAGTGTTATTGTTGTTTTCTTTCTCCTTAATCTTGGATTTTTATGAACTTCTGTTCTTAGGAATTCACCTTTTCTTATTGCCCTCTAGAAACGTTTAGTAAGCAAAGCCATATCATCTTCTTCAATATCTTATTTCTGAGTGGTCTTAAGCACCAAGTTCTTGGCATTGTGAGGTTTAAAAGTTTGTCAATCTAGGCAATCCTGATTTATCTTTATTTCATAAGTCTCCAAGTTTCCAATGAAGTCATGAAGGGTTATTGTACTCAGGTTTCTAGCTTCAGTAATTGTATTGACCTTTCTATCCCATGAAGGGGGCAATATGATCAGAATTTTCCTCACAATTTTGTTACGAGCGATAACTTCTCCAAGAGATATTGATTCATTGATAATTGAAGTGAGCCTAGTATGAATCTCCAGGATAGTTTCCTTTCTTTCATCTTGAACAGTTCGTATTGCCTAGTTAGCATGTTAATCTTTGATTGCTTCACTTGAGAGGTACCTTTATGAGTACAATGCAGAGAATCCCTTATGGCCTTTGCATCTCTTCAAGTAAAGATTCTGTTATATTCATCCGGACCAATACCACACATCAGAATCTTCTGAGCTTTGGCATTCTTTTGAAATCCTTTAACATCTTCTTTGGAATATTATTCTCTTGGTTTTGCTTTAGTGGGAACACCCTTGCCATCAAACATCATAGAAACCTTTGGTCGCTTCTAAAAAAAGTTCTAGAGTTCCAGGTATTCTCCTTCCAAGAAATCACGCATCATTTCCTTCTACCATCTGTAATATTTCCCATTAGCAGTGATGGCGTGATAGTTGATTGCATCTGGTGGTGTAGCCATTGTGCATCCTTTAAAGGTATTAGCCTCTTATAAAAGAACTTTCTCTTATACTAATTGCTATTTTAGATTATACTAAGACACAAGAAGGGGGGCTGAATTGTGCCTTGCCTGATTTTCGCATTTTGAAAGAACTTGGTTCTTTGAGCTACCCAAATAGACACAAACAAAAATAATTACGGAAAACTCAGCACTGATATTTTAACATTGGAAACCTCCTTGCTCAAGGGAGTAAAAACCACGACCTACCTAGTAAGGTTTTCTTTAAATCTCCACTAAACTTCAAAGAATAGTTTTAAGTTACAATTCTATAACCAAGTAGACTAACTATAGTACCCTAATCCATACAACCAAACCAATTGTAGCAAATCATTTTCAAACTAACTCTAACCCAGAAAACTTACAAAAAATTTCAAAAATAACCTACAACTAGAGAACTCGAGCAGCTTCTTCTTAAAGAAATGGTTCTTTAGTTGGTTTGATTGAATCTTCAGAAGTACCTTTTTGTTGTGCTTGCTGTCAAAAGTTTTTTCAATAATTTCTCTCAATGGTAGTAGTCATGAAGTGGATTCTTATATAGGTGCAAGGTTGGCAAAAAATCTTCTTTAATTAATGCTCCAAAACCTAGAATATTTTGATTAAGGAAAACCTCCCATATTTAGATTCGATTTCCTTATTTATTTCCAACTCTTCAACCTTCTTTCTCCATACAAATCTTTTCCATAAATACAAATTCCTTTTGGTGCATGAAGTCCTTCAATACGCGTATTCCTTTTAGGACATGGACATGATCTTCCGGGAATTCCAACTCGCATGGGAATACTAGCCTTTCGCATTCGAACAACATTCTGCCATTAGCCTGCTATGTGCATGATTCACTTGATATTCATCTCTCCCGTCTGCACCTTGGTCTAGCAGCATACTAAACTGGAACATGAAACCTGGTTCTCAGACACGGTTTGTTAATCATCAAAGAATAACACATGCACAACTCAACAATACTTTCTTTTTTACATTATTTTCCCAGTCAATTATTACAACTTTTCAGGTCAAGTAATACTATTCTCCTTAAATTAAACCAAAACAACAACACAATATAAATAATTAAACAAATAAAAAAATAGGGTAGGCATTGATTTTCATTTTCCTCCCTTACTTTAGTTGAAGACTTTCCTCAAGGGCTCTCCTGCCCTCCAACTTCAACATATGAAGCAAAAAATCACTCCAAGAATCAATAGGACCAGGCAAACACCAATGTACACAATCATTATACAAAACCACATTCTCATTAGGCCAATGTCCATATCTACTAGGGTGACCATCTGGTCTCAATAACATGGCTTGTGTCATGTCCAATAATCTGAACCTCTTACCCTTTTTCTTTCCTTCATCAGATGCAACCTTAAATTCTTCAACTTGTGTCATATAAAATTCCAAAGTTAAACCATCCAAAGATGTCTCATTGCTTCTAAATGGCCTTCTTCTAATACAATTTCCACCCTTATTCCATTCACCACCTTCAAAATGAGAAGGCGCAATAGTCCTAAGAAAAGTAACACCTTTATAATTTTTTAATCTATTGATGGCTTCTAAAGTTGTCTTAAGTGCCTTTTGATAACCATAATTTATTGGAAGATCAGTGACATTTGGGAGTCCACAATAACGACAACCAATTATTTGATTTTTCTCGTAGTAGACACTGCATCTTGTAAACCAGTGGGCAGAATTGAGGATGAGGTAGTCAAATTGTTCAATTTGGGTTATCCATTTTGCATCAGGTTCATCAAGATAAAGATTGAAAAGACCTGTGTGGCTAGGACCATCAGGATCTGATTCTTTAACCGTGACTAAGAATGGTGACCAATATGCTGCTAAGGTAAAGTTATAAGTTATGTATTTCCACCTTTTGAAATTTTGATCATCGTCACAAGAAATATCGATGGGATATTCCACCTGTAATACAAAAAAAAAAAAAAAAAAAAAACCGTACCAAACTAGAATTAAGTGACTTATTAGTTAATTTTACTATCATTTAC